AAATTTAAAATGATATTAAAAAAATAATACGAATTAAATACTATATAATAATTTGTCTACAATATTGAATATACAGCTTACCGGTAGTATAGAATTTAAAAAATAAATAAACACACAACTCCCATTTAGAAAGATAAAAAGTATTATTATGAATTATATTAATTTTTAAAATAAATGTTACCTTCTAATATTCCATCTATTCCATTGAAGACACAGGAAGACTTTCAAAAAATGGAAATATTTTTGACAACTCGAGTCAATTATGAAGCTGTGGTAAGTCATGTAATTTATTAATATATTTATTTTGTATTAATACATATAAAATGTAGGATCTTCGATAATTGAAAATATTGATATCACTATTTTCAATATATTAGCCATTTTAATTTTAGCATAATCTTGTATATAATTTAATCACTTTTTATTATATTACACTGTGGTCATGACGTTTTTTAAGAATCAATTTAGCTATTTTATTTAAATTTTTAAATTAGTATAAATGTTAACTTTATGAGCACAGTTTAATTATAAATTTGTGCTTTAAAACTAAAAGCTAAAATTGCAACATCAAAATTTTCAATTTGATTTTTACATGCACCAATTTAATACAATGCATAGTAAAAATCTACTAAGCAATCATGATAATCATCTTGTATTATTTTTTTATATCCTAACAACGAGATCTACTTTATTCAAAATGTACAAGTGCTTTGGGAACATTATCTGTTTCTTCAGAACGCAGTGTCACAGGAAACGTTTTGTCTAAATTAATCTCAAACGGTCTTGCTAAAAAAATTAGCTGGAGTGGATCAGAAGACAAAACAAAGTTTTCAGACACAAAACTTTGTGAAGTTGTATTTGGTAAGTGTTAATCTTAATTTTTTGGAATTCGTTACATATTCTTTAATTTTTATTTTATTTATTTTTTTATCAATACAATACACGAAATATACATTCATGTATTTGTTCTTAATACAATTTTATTTTAATTATCTTTGCAGGTGCAGTCAAGCTACGATTTTCCAACAGCTTTTTAATTGAAACTAAAGCTAAAATTAAGCGTTGGTTTCAAACAGCTAATGGACGGAAAGAAAACAATGATGTGAATGATTCTGATACCTAAAATATATAATAGGCATCAAAATCATTCACACAACTAATGCATAAAAATAAGCAATAGGGACCAAGCAATAGCTACTTCAATGATACCAAAGAAAAGTTATTGAAAGAGATTATTATTTACTTTACATATCTATTTAATATATGTTTATTTAGAACTTTCCGTGTTCTTGTAAAAACATGTTTCTCATTAAATTCTGAAACAAATCTTTTTTGACAAAAATTTACAAGTTTACTCTTTACAAGTTTTGTCAATTATCTTACGTGTTGATTAGATGTTTTTTTAATGATGTTTTTTTAATGATTTTTTTTTAATTGTTACAACAATTAAAAACGTTGCTGAAATGCGTTCAAACTGTTGCGTTCAAACAATTTGGAAAATTTGGAACCATTATTTATGTTATCAAAGCAGAATCTTTGTGTTAAAAAAGAAACGAATAAACATGCAAACTTGTACCGCAAACTCGTGTACGCGATATCGCGAGCTAGTTAGTCCTCACAATAGATATTTTCCAAGGCGGAATGACGAATCATTTTTGAAAAACATTTTTTTGTAATGCCAATTCCGTATACATATACATATATGTATTATTTATGTATAGTATATATATTTTTTCAAATTATTAAATATTAATAAGTTCTATATTTTTGTCTTTATTTTATTTGTGTTCGTTTCAATATTTATATGTTTACTTACTTTTATGTTCAAAAAGTATATTATAGTAGTAAAATTTATCTTATATATATGAATAAATTCAAGACTAATGTACATTTCTACCAATGTTGATTAACTTTAATATTGGTTTAATTTTCTTTTGTTTTTTTTTAATTTTAACAATTAATCTTTTAACAATTAATCTTAACAAT